GTATATATTATATATACATGATCCAGCATGCTCTTTTGTGAAATAAAAAAAACTACCCCTCGATCCATGCCTCAATAAGGGGTGTTATCTAAAATCAATGGATTCATGAAAAAACCCTCCATAATGATAATGTGTTTTTTATTTCTTTTTTGAAAGGGGTCAAAAAAAAGGGGTTGGGGGATCAAATGGTATAGTTCTTTTGTTGGTCAATTAGAAGATTATAAACATGACTATTGCTTTTCAATTAGCTGTTTTTGCATTAATTGTTACTTCATCCATTTTATTAATTAGTGTACCTGTTGTATTTGCTTCTCCTGATGGTTGGTCAAGTAACAAAAATGTTGTATTTTCCGGTACATCATTATGGATTGGATTAGTATTTCTAGTGGGTATTCTTAATTCTCTCATCTCTTGAAACTATTCATTCTAGATCAAAAAACGAAATGACCCCTCCCCCCGAATTCTTTCGGGTTGTGAGGCACATTAAAATGGAATATATAAGACCCCACACAGAAAGAAAACTAAAACATTTTTATTATTAATGGGAGGGGTCAAACTTCTTCTATTGGAAAAAGCTTATATCTTATCCTGAATATGATATATAGTAAAACGAAAATATTCATATTATTTTTTTAATATAGAATATACTAATTTGAATTCTATTCTAGAAAACAATAAGAATAGAATATTAAGAATTTTTAATAGAAACGAATATTAATAGAAAATCGTATATTTCGAATAGAAAGATATAGATATTCCATAATCTATTATCTATAAAATATATATGGATTTCGACTTTTCTTGATCACTCCTAATAGATATCAAACACCGCTCTGCACAAATCGAATTGATATATCAAGTAAAAAGTACAATATAGAAAGTATAAAGTACAATAAAAAGAAAAACGCGGATATAGTTTAATGGTATAATTTCTCTTTGCCAAGGAGAAGACGCGGGTTCAATTCCCGCTATCCGCCGTTGCTTATGTATTGAATAGTACATTTATCTATCTATTTCAAAAATAGAAAATAGTGAATTCCAATTTTTATCAAAAATGTTGCGGAGACAGGATTTGAACCCGTGACCTCAAGGTTATGAGCCTTGCGAGCTACCAAGTTGCTCTACTCCGCCATAAGAAGAACAAATGACAATGAATGGAAAACAGAGATTGAATGTACCCCTCCACCATATCTGTACAAATAGAATAAACCATTGATACAGAATGGTAAAGGGACCGTCCTATGATCGCGGATCATCAAAATGAATAAAAAAAATGAAGATAATTTTTTATTCTTACCAACTCGATCTTGTTGCACCGGGCAACAAACATTCGTGAACCATTTCACGAAGTACGTGTCCAGATAATCCAAAGTGTCGATAATTACCTCGTGGTCTTCCGGTCGCAAAACAACGTCGATTAAGACGTGTAGGTGCACTATTACGCGGTAGTACTTCCAACTTTCCCTGAATTTCCCATTTCTCACTTAACGATTGAGCTTTGCTCATTTCTTTTTTTGGAGATCGTCGAATCAAATGATATTTTTGTTCCAATTTTTGCCTCTTCTTCTCCCTCTCAATTACACTTTTCTTTGCCATGCTGATTCATTTCCTGTATCAATGATAGAAGTCGGATCCTAAGATGTCGAAAATTGAAGAAGGTGGTTCCCCTTCTTCATACAAAGAGATTCAATTTTTGCAGATACAATAAAGAATCAAATTAACCAAATTTACCGGATGTAGAGGCAATCAAGAAAGCTGCATAAGTAAATATATAACCTACCGAAAAGTGGACTAATCCAACCAATCTTGCTTGGACAATGGAAAGAGCCACAGGTTTATCTCTCCATCGAATCAAATTCGCCAAAGGTGTGCGTTCATGAGCCCATGCTAAAGTTTCAATCAATTCCTGCCAATATCCGCGCCATGAGATTAAGAACATAAATCCAGTAGCCCAAACAAGATGTCCAAATAAGAACATCCACGCCCAGACGGATAAACTATTCATACCAAAGGGGTTATATCCATTGATAAGTTGTGAAGAATTTAACCATAGATAATCTCTTAACCATCCCATCAAATAGGTTGAAGATTCATTAAATTGTGAAACATTACCCTGCCATAATGTAATGTGCTTCCAATGCCAATAAAAAGTAACCCATCCAATGGTATTTAACATCCAGAAAACAGCCAAATAAAATGCGTCCCAAGCAGAAATATCACAAGTACCACCTCGTCCCGGACCATCGCAAGGAAAACTATAACCAAAATCCTTTTTATCCGGCATTAACTTGGAACCACGTGCATCTAAAGCACCTTTTACTAAGATCAATGTAGTTCTATGTAAACCAAGAGCAATAGCATGATGAACCAAGAAGTCTCCAGGCCCTATTGTTAAGAATAGAGAATTACTATTCTCATTAATAGCATTTAACCAACCCGGCAACCATATGCTTCGCCCCGCATTGAGCGCCGGACTATTCATTGAAGATAAAAGTACATCGAAACCATATGAAGTTTTACCATGAGCAGATTGTATCCATTGGGCAAATATAGGTTCGATCAAGATTTGTTTCTCCGGAGTGCCAAAAGCAAGCATGACATCATTATGGACATAAAGTCCCAAAGTATGGAACCCCAGAAATAGGATGGCCCAACTTAAATGGGATATGATAGCTTCTTTGTGCTCTAACATTCTTGCCAATACATTATCCTCATTCTGTTCGGGATTGTAATCTCTAATAAAAAAGATAGCTCCATGAGCAAAAGCCCCTGTCATAATAAATCCTGCAATGTATTGATGATGAGTATATAACGCAGCTTGAGTAGTAAAGTCTTGTGCTATAAACGCATAAGCAGGTAAAGAGTACATGTGTTGAGCTACCAAAGAAGTAATGACCCCTAACGAGGCTAGAGCAAGGCCTAATTGAAAATGAATTGAATTATTGATTGTGTCATAAAGACCCTTATGTCCACGCCCCAATCTACCCCCCGGAGGAATATGCGCTTCTAAAATATCTTTTATACTGTGCCCAATACCGAAGTTAGTTCTATACATATGACCAGCAATGAGAAAAAGAATTGCAATAGCTAAAGGATGATGGGCCATATCGGTAAGCCATAAACTTTGCGTTTGAGGATGGAATCCCCCGAGAAGTGTTAGAATGGCAGTTCCCGCGCCTTGCGAAGTACTAAATAAATGATTACTAGAATCGGGGTTTTGAGCATAAAGATTCCACTGACCCGTCAAAAGTGGCCCTAATCCTTGAGGGTGGGGCAATACACTTAAGAAATTATTCCATCGAACATATTCTCCTCTGGATCCTGGAATAGCCACATGGACTAAATGCCCTGCCCAAGCTAAGGAACTGACTCCAAATAGTCCTGACAAATGATGATTGAGGCGCGATTCGGCATTTTTAAACCACGAAACGCTCGGTTTCCATTTTGGTTGTAGGTGTAACCAGCCCGCTAATAAGGATATGAAAGAAAGAAATAATAGAAAAATAGCTCCAGTATAAAGATCCTCATTAGTACGTAAACCAATTGTATACCACCACTGATAAACACCGGAATAGGCAATATTCATTGGGCCAAGAGAACCCCCTCGAGTAAAAGCTTCTACAGCCGGTTGACCAAAATGGGGATCCCAAATTGCATGAGCAATAGGTCTTACATGTAAAGGATCCTGTACCCATGCCTCAAAATTTCCTTGCCAAGCTACATGGAAGAGATTCCCGGAAGTCCACAGAAAAATTATTGCTAATTGTCCGAAATGAGAAGCAAAAATATTCTGATAAAGACGTTCCTCAGTAATATCATCATGACTCTCGAAGTCATGTGCGGTAGCAATACCAAACCAAATACGACGAGTAGTGGGGTCCTGAGCTAAGCCTTGGCTAAACCTTGGAAATCTTAATGCCATAATGCTTTTCAAATCCTCCTAGCCATTATCCTACTGCAATAATTCTTGCTAAGAAGAATGCCCACGTTGTGGCAATTCCACCCAGAAGGTAATGTGTTACTCCTACAGCACGTCCCTGTACAATGCTCAAGGCTCTAGGCTGAGTAGCAGGAGCAACTTTTAATTTATTATGAGCCCAAACGATGGATTCAATAAGTTCTTGCCAATAACCACGCCCGCTGAATAGAAACATTAAACTAAAAGCCCATACAAAATGGGCGCCTAAGAAAAAAAGACCATATGCCGATAATGAGGAACCGTAAGACTGAATTACCTGGGATGCCTGCGCCCATAAGAAATGAACAGACGTACTTTATGTGAATGGAAATGAAAAACAAGAGATACTAGTTCTCTTAGTTGAATTACCTGGGATTTTTGCTCATTTTTATGGCCCTTTCCCTTTTTTTTATTGAGTTGACATAGACTCAAGTAATTTCCCTCAAATTAGGATGGTGCGTCAAGATTTTAATGGTCGGGATAGCTCAGCCGGTAGAGCAAAGGACTGAAAATCCTTGTGTCACCAGTTCAAATCTGGTTCCCGGCGACTCATTATGTATGAGTATCTATTCCCATATTTCTTTTCAAAAATCAAATATTGGGAGGAATAGATACATATTGATTAGTGGTCTTAATAATTATACATAATTTATCTAGGCGTACAGAGATATGCTCTTTCTAGATGAAAAAGGAATCGATGTATATTCTAGGAAGTATGAAAATGAATGATTCTAGTTTGTTTCGATTTTTTCTGCGATGCAATAACAAATGTTCATATTTCAACAATATTCAAATGGTTCAATTAGTTGGTTGAACGACCAAAAAGTTGAATCTAGCGGAGTTCATAGGTAAGAATAGTCAAAATTTATCTGAGATACATTATCAAAAAATATGGTCCATTTCTTTGTATTTTCTTTGATCGTACTTTTTTATTTTTCGTAGCCAGATATCTACTACTCGGAATAGAAATAGGAAATTGACTTCATTATAGGACTTATTAATCTTGTAAAAATTTTAAAATATCGGGTAGAAGTCCATGCCGCTACTCGGACTCGAACCGAGATGCTCTAGCACTGCTTCCTAAGAGCAGCGTGTCTACCAATTCCACCATAGCGGCTGACTCGAAATCATAATAACCAATTATTTAGTCAAAGTCAATAGTCAATCGTCGAGATTGAATAAAGTGAAGTCCAATATTTATTGAGTACATTTGTTTACTATTTACTAAACATTTATTCTCAATTGATAATAAAACTAAATTGATAATAAAAAGTAATTTAATTTTTTCTAATATATAATAGAAATGAATATAGAAATCAAAACTTCTTTTACTTAAATTGAAAATGATTGCATATATCATATATTTCTATATTCATTTCTTTTTTTTTTCCCATGCAGTGTTCGTTTTCAAATTTAACAACGATGGGGAATGGGTTTTTTGTAGTTTAGACTTTTTCAAATAAAAAAAAAGCACTGTTGAAACTAGAACTATCTAGTTCTGACTTCAATCCAGTAATGAAAAAGAAATTTTTTTTGTAGTTGCTTATGAATCATTCAAAAAAATGAGATTATATATATATCTAGAATATATTCTATATTCTATAATATAGAATATATTCTAAATATATGTTTATATATGTTTCATATTCTATAATAGTATTAGTATAAAATGACTATTAAAGAATACTCTTTGAATCGAGCTAATTCAGATTATTCTCGTCCAACATTTGTATTTCTTACAATAACACAACTTTTTTTTTGATTACGTGGCAAAAAAGGGCGAGGTTTTGTATTTATTACAATACGATAACTTTTTGAGGTACCTGTCAAAATAGAGTCAGCTAATGAAAAGGCTTTCAATGCTGCCTTATATCCTTTTTTTTCCAAAAATTCTTACGAATTTTTTTTTTGATATAGAAGTGCGTTTTTTTGGAACTGGCATACAATTAGTATAGTTTTTTCGTTGCTATAGTTTGATGTGAAAGACATTTGTTCTGTAAATGAAAACAAATTATTCTGTAATTAGCCGTATGTCTTATCTATCTAAATTAACTCTTTCTCTTTTTTTCCATCGAAAGGTAAAGTAAAAACATTGAATATTATAAACCTTTTCCAAATTTTTCATAGATAATAGATATATATGGATCTCTTTTTATTGTAATGTAAAAGAATCAATTAGTTCAAAAAGGAACTAATGTTTCTGAATAAAAAAAAAGTATTATTTTATATTATATTCTTTTTCTAATGTATATCAAAATAAACAAATGTTGTTAGTTTTGGTGTACTGATTTATCCTCATCCTCGCTCTATAGATAAGAGATAAAAAATTTTATTTTACAATTATTAATAGTCATTTTTCTTAATATATATATAAATTAAAAAATAACTAACCTAACATAGGAATTAATAGTAATATTAATTAATGAATATATTACTGAAATACTGAAAATAATAATAATTATTTATTTTTTTCACTAGGAATTTTGTTATTGGCCAGTTTTGACTTTGTACTTTCCAATATGGGGACCATTGTGCAAAGATTCAGAACAATTAAGAATATCCAATTCTATTTCTATATCCACTTTTTTATTAACCGAGCCCCTTTACAAAAGATATAAAACAAACGAATAAGAAACAAAATTCATCAAGAATCTAAATATTTTTTATTCTTTCTTTTTGTATGGAATATACACATCAATCTTCATGGATCATACCTTTCATCCCTCTTCCAGTTCCTATTTTAATAGGGGTAGGACTTCTACTTTTTCCCACGGCAACAAAAAATCTTCGCCGTATGTGGGCTTTTCCTAGTATTTTCTTGTTAACCATAATTATGATTTTTTCGATCGATTTATCTATTCAGCAAATCGAGAATAGTTCTATCTATCAATATGTATGGTCTTGGACTATAAATAATGATCTTTCTTTAGAGTTTGGCTACTTGATCGATTCACTTACTTCTATTATGTCAATATTAATCACTACTGTTGGTATTCTGGTTCTAATTTATAGTGATAGTTACATGTCTCATGATCAAGGGTATTTGATACAGCTCTTTTTAGCATTTCTTCACATGTACCCGCAGTAGCATTCAAATAATGTCCTTTGATTTCACCTGTTTCGGCCTGTGATTTATAAATTGCTTCGGCACAAAATAAGAAACGGTCTCTCCAACGCATAAATGGTTGGGAGTTCACATTTTCATCATCTTTGGTAAAATCAAGTCCCCCGCGGAGACATTCATAAACTGCTCTACCATAATTCTTAGCGGATAAACCCAATTTTGGTTTAATAGTACATCCCAATAGGGGACTTCCATACTTGTTCAATTTATCTCTCTCAACTTGGATTCCGTGAGGAGGACCTTGGAAAGTTTTAACATAAGCATTAGGGATTCGCAAATCTTCCAGACGTAGAGCGCGTAAAGCCTTGAACCCAAATACATTACCTACAATGGAGGTAAACATGTTAGTAACAGAACCTTCTTCAAAAAGGTCTAAGGGATAAGCTACATAAGCAATAAATTGATTATCTTCTCCAGGAACAGGCTCTATCTCGTAGCAGCATCCTTTATAATGATCAAGGCTGGTAAGTCCATCGGTCCACACAGTTGTCCATGTACCAGTGGAAGATTCTGCAGCTACCGCTGCACCTGCTTCTTCAGCCGGAACTCCTGGTTGAGGAGTTACTCGGAATGCTGCCAAGATATCAGTATCTTTGGTTTGATATTCAGGAGTATAATAAGTCAATTTATAATCTTTAACACCAGCTTGGAACCCAACCTTTGCTTTAGTTTCTGTTTGTGGTGACATAAATCCCCCCCCCTACAACGCATGAATTAAGAATTATAGCAAGAACAAGGTCTACTCGACATAACTTAGGAGTTAAGAAAACCTTTTTACAAATGATCCATCAACTAATATTATCAATTAATCCGAATGGTTCATTGTTCAATTTTACCATGATATTTGATTTGGCAAATACATCATTATTCTATACTGTTTCATATGTATGGCGCAACCCAACCGTTTTTTTTTTGAGTCTCTTATTTTTTTTTTTTGAATTTTGGAATCTCATTTTCTAATCTAAATAATAAAAAACATACTCTTGACCTTGACAGTGATATATGTTGTATATGTAAATCCTAGATGTCAAAATCAGCAGAATTTTCCCAATAAAAAGAAAAATTGGTAAAAAGAATCTGCATAGTATAAATCCTATGCTGAGGAAAGAAAAAAGAAGGACCAATGAGATAGAAAAACGGAATCATAAACAAACAAAGTTCAGGTTCGAATTACATAGATAATATAGATAGTATTGTCTATAATCTAGAATGATAAACAAATGAAAGACTTTCAAAAGATTTCATCCAATTAAAATTTTCATAATGACTGGGTTGACCTTGAAAATTCACTCATTGAAATTTAAAAACAATTGAATTGGTTGGATGGTACCAAGAAAATCGATTATTAACTTACATTTATTCTTTTATATATTATTAAATATTAAGAAAATTAAGAATATTAACCGATCAACTTGCTTTGTTATCAAACAGTTTTTTCTTAATTTCAATTTTTTTTTTCAAAAAAATGGATATTTTTTAATATGACAATAACTCCTCCTCCTTCTGATACTGAGGTTTCTGCACTTGAAAAAAAAAATCTGGGGCGTATCACGCAAATAATCGGTCCGATACTCGATGTAGTTTTTCCACCAGGGAAGATGCCTTATATTTACAACGCTCTGATAGTTCAAGGTCGAGATACGGTTGGCCAACAAATTAACGTAACGTGTGAAGTACAGCAATTATTAGGAAATAATAGAATTAGAGCTTTAGCTATGAGTGCTACAGATGGTCTAAATAGAGGAATGGAAGTGATTGACACGGGAGTTGCTCTAAGTGTTCCAGTCGGTGGAGCAACCCTAGGTCGAATTTTCAACGTGCTTGGAGAGCCTATTGATAATTTGGGTCCTGTAGATACTCGCACAACATCTCCTATTCATAGATCTGCGCCTGCCTTTATACAGTTAGATACACAATTATCCATTTTTGAAACAGGAATTAAAGTAGTCGATCTTTTAGCTCCTTATCGCCGTGGCGGAAAAATAGGACTTTTCGGTGGAGCTGGGGTAGGTAAAACAGTTCTCATTATGGAATTGATCAATAACATTGCCAAAGCTCATGGAGGTGTATCTGTATTTGGCGGAGTAGGTGAGCGTACTCGTGAGGGAAATGATCTTTATATGGAAATGAAAGAATCCGGAGTAATTAATGAAAAAAATATTGCGGAATCAAAAGTAGCTCTAGTCTACGGTCAAATGAATGAAACGCCCGGAGCTCGTATGAGAGTTGGTTTAACTGCCCTAACTATGGCAGAATATTTCCGAGATGTCAATGAGCAGGACGTCCTTCTATTTATCGACAATATCTTCCGTTTTGTCCAAGCCAGATCCGAAGTATCCGCCTTATTGGGCCGAATGCCTTCCGTTGTGGGTTATCAACCCACCCTGGGTACTGAAATGGGTACTTTACAAGAAAGAATTACTTCTACCAAAGAAGGGTCTATAACTTCTATTCAAGCAGTTTATGTACCTGCAGACGATTTGACTGATCCTGCTCCTGCCACGACATTTGCACATTTGGATGCAACTACTGTACTATCAAGAGGATTAGCTGCCAAAGGTATCTATCCAGCAGTAGATCCTTTAGATTCAACGTCAACCATGCTCCAACCTCGCATCGTCGGTGAAGAACATTATGAAACTGCGCAAAGAGTGAAACAAACGTTACAACGTTACAAAGAACTTCAGGACATTATAGCTATTCTTGGGTTGGACGAATTATCCGAAGAGGATCGCTTAACCGTAGCAAGAGCACGAAAAATTGAACGTTTCTTATCACAACCTTTTTTCGTAGCAGAAGTATTTACCGGTTCCCCAGGGAAATATGTTGGTCTAGCAGAAACAATTTGAGGATTTAAATTGATTCTTTCTGGAGAATTAGATAGTCTTCCTGAACAAGCCTTTTATTTGGTGGGTAATATCGATGAAGCTACTGCGAAGGCTACGAACTTAACTTAGAAATGGAGAACAAATTCAAGAAATGACTTTAAATCTTTGTGTACTGACCCCCAATCGAATTGTTTGGGATTCAGAAGTGAAAGAAATTATTTTATCTACTAATAGTGGACAAATTGGGGTATTAAAAAATCATGCGCCTATTGCCACATCTTTAGATATAGGTATTTTGAGAATACGCCTTAACGACCGATGGTTAACAATGGCTCTGATGGGCGGTTTTGCTAGAATAGGCAATAATGAGATCACTATTTTAGTAAATGATGCAGAAAGGGGTAGTGACATTAATCCACAAGAAGCACAACAAACTCTTCAAATAGCAGAAGCTAACTTGAATAAGGCTGAAGGCAAGAGACAAACAATTGAAGCAAATCTAGCTCTCCGGCGAGCTAGGACACGAGTAGAGGCTATCAATATGATCTCATAACAAGTTGGTGCAGCCAAAAAATAGAAAAAAGATAGAAAATTACAATAAAACAATGGTGAGTAGAAAAACTTATTAGATACCGGAATTAATGGTATCTAATAAGTTCTACCAATACCTTACCTACTATTGGATTTGAACCAATGACTCCTGCCGTATGAAAGCAATACTCTAACCACTGAGTTAAGTAGGTCATTTATCATCCTAAATAAAAAAAGTAGCTGTCTATCAGATCAATGGATTATAAATGTTATATTACTTATAAACAATACAAACGCAATATAAATCAAAGAGATTGGATCATGTCATATTTATCTTGACAAGAATTTATTTATCGAATATGATCAAATATGTATCCAAAGCACAAGGGCTATAGCTCAGTTAGGTAGAGCACCTCGTTTACACATGCGCCAATGTTTTTTCATAGGAGTCCATCATGTAATTAAAAGAGTTGATCTTAATTGATAAATAGATGTCTTACTCCCGGAACAAAATAAGAGAACAATAGCCTGACAAAGGATTTAGACGTCAAATGGAATCCATAATGGATTTGAGATATTGATACGGTGAATACTTAATCTATTCAATGCTAGGCAATGAGTCTAGGGACCTCAAAAAAAATCTCTTTTCTTCCTATCTTATGAACTTTAAGGTGTATGAAGTTTCATTTCCTATTTGATATTTTTATTGAAGTAGGTTGATAGAGAGTCCATTTAACTTAAGTTGATCCAGGCCAGAAGCAGACCTACGTCAGGATAACCTTCTTCTTTGAAAAACTTTGGTAGTGCTCTTAGATTTTGATCTAAATAAGAAATCAGAGCACAGGGAGTCATTTCCTTTTTCTTTGTGTAAAGAAAAAAGATGGTAGACTAATTGATATTTCTATCAGTTAATGAAAAAGCCCAATGCAAAAAAAATGCACGTTGGGTCTTTCAAACAATTCAAATCATTTTGATAATAATAAATAATAGTTTGATGTGTTTTACCGAGAAGGTCTACGGTTCGAGTCCGTATAGCCCTAATATTACTACCGATACTACTCAGATTTAGATTTCTTATCTAATATCTGTCATTACAAATATATATGTACTAATACTATATGTACTAGATTAGTACTATATTGAATACTCCATACTAGTAATACTACTAGTATAAATATACTTTCAATACTTTTTGTAATAGAAAGAATGAATAAAGTAATTTCTATTCGAATAGATTAATAGTGGATAGAATAATATGAGTATTAGTATACTCAGATAATAATCTCAATTTTATTAGAAAAAATGTAAACTTAAGAAAATACAAAGCATTTCTATTTAGATTCTATTAATGAATCTAAGAATTTGAAAATTTCAATTCAAATCGACTCAGAATTAATATGAATCCAGTATATTTTCCCCATTCCTAGGAGGACATTTATGTTTTTTCTTTATGAATATGATATTTTTTGGACATTTCTAATAATATCGATCTTTATTCCTATTTTGGCATTTCTAATTTCTGGAATTTTAGCTCCAATTAGGAAAGGGCCAGAAAAACTTTCTAGTTATGAATCCGGAATAGAACCGATGGGCGATGCTTGGTTACAATTTCAAATCCGTTATTATATGTTTGCTCTAGTTTTTGTTGTTTTTGATGTTGAAACAGTCTTTCTTTACCCGTGGGCAATGAGTTTTGATGTATTGGGGGTATCCGTATTTATAGAAGCTTTCATCTTCGTGCTTATCCTAATTGTTGGTTTAGTTTATGCATGGCGAAAGGGAGCATTAGAATGGTCTTAATTCTTGAATATTTAGACAATTAAACAAAACATTGAGACAGTTATGAATTCCATTGAGTTTCCCTTACTTGATCAAAAAACCAAAAATTCAGTTATTTCTACTACATTAAATGATCTTTCAAATTGGTCAAGACTATCTAGTTTATGGCCGCTTCTCTATGGTACTAGTTGTTGCTTCATTGAATTTGCTTCATTAATAGGATCGCGATTTGACTTTGATCGTTATGGACTGGTACCACGCTCTAGTCCTAGGCAGGCAGACCTCATTTTAACAGCGGGCACCGTAACTATGAAAATGGCTCCTTCTTTAGTTCGATTATATGAGCAAATGCCCGAACCAAAATATGTTATTGCTATGGGAGCCTGTACAATTACAGGAGGTATGTTCAGTACCGATTCTTATAGTACTGTTCGGGGCGTGGATAAGCTAATTCCTGTGGATGTATATTTGCCGGGCTGTCCACCTAAACCGGAAGCCGTTATAGATGCTATAACAAAACTTCGTAAGAAAATATCTCGAGAAATCTATGAAGATCAATTTAGTTATCAACGAGAGAATAGGTGTTTTACTACCAACCACAAATTTTATGTTGGACGCGGTACTCATACCGGCAATTATAATCAAGGATTATTCTATCAACCATCATCTATTTCAGAGATAACCTCTGACACATTTTTGAAATATAAAAAAGTTCAGTATCCTCCGACGAACGAAAAAGTGAATTAAACAGGATCCTTTTGTACAAAATACAATAAGAAATAGCAAGCAAGTCAATCTTCAAAAATTTCATTGTAATGTAAATAAATGGTAAATACTTATACCAATCTTATAAAAAACTCGGGAGAAGTAAAAAAATGCAAGGTAATTTGTCTGCTTGGCTAGTCAAACACGGAATAGTTCATAGATCTTTAGGTTTTGATTATCAAGGAATAGAGACTTTACAAATAAAGCCCGAGGATTGGCATTCGATTGCTGTTATTTTATATGTATATGGTTACAATTATCTACGTTCCCAATGTGCCTATGATGTAGCACCAGGAGGACTATTAGCGAGTGTCTATCATCTTACGAGAATAGAGTATAGTCTAGATCAACCCGAAGAGGTATGCATAAAAGTATTTACCCCAAGGCAAAATCCGAGAATTCCTTCTATTTTCTGGGTTTGGAAAAGTGCAGATTTTCAAGAAAGGGAATCTTATGATATGTTAGGAATCTATTATGATAATCATCCGCGTCTGAAATGTATTTTAATTCCCGAAAGTTTGATAGGATGGCCTTTGCGTAAAGATTATATCGCCCCCAATTTTTATGAAATACAAGATGCTCACTAAATGATAAAAATCAGAAAGTAATCTGAACTTCGACAACCCCAGATATTAAAGAAATATCTGTATGTACATTTTCTTTTTCTTATAGATTAGACAGAATAATAGAGGTTTCATTCCTAATCTTATTCTAGATTAGGATGGTATAAATAAGAAAATTGAGAAATAAAAAAGACAATAATATAGGGATTAATTGAGATTCCAAAATTGGATGGAGCTATACTTATTTAGGACGAGCCAATAGGATGAACTGAAAAAGTTCTGCATCATTAACTATGTAAGATGCACATCAGCATCAATTCATACCTTTTTTATTTTCATTATAGATATTTTTATTTTCATTATATATATGATATTTACAACTTTAGAGCATATATTAACTCATATATCGTTTTCCGTGATATCAATTGTTATTTCAATTCATTTGATAACCTTATTAGGCAATGAAATCGTAGGATTATATGATTTGTCCAAAAAAGCCATGATAATAAGTTTTTTCTGTGTAACGGGATTGTTAATTACTCGTTGGTTTTTTTCGGGACATTTACCATTTAGTAATTTATATGAATCCCTAATCTTTCTTTCATGGGGTTTTTCAATTTTTCATATGGTTCCTTTTTTTAAAAAGGAGAAAAACCTTTTAAGTACAATAATTGCACCAAGTGTTATTTTTACCCAAGGCTTTGCGACTTCGGGTCTTTTAACCAAAATGCATCAATCCGTAATATTAGTACCCGCTCTACAATCCCATTGGCTAATGATGCACGTAAGTATGATGATACTGGGCTATGCAGCTCTTTTATGTGGATCATTATTATCAGTGGCTATTTTAGTCATTACGTTTCAAGAAGTCATCCAAATTCTTGCTTTTACCAAGAATTTGGATTCTTTAAAAAATCAGTTGATTTTGTTGAAATCAAATACATGAATAGGAATGAAAGAAACAATGTTTTACGAAAAACTTCTTTTTCTTCTTCTATAAATTATTACAGGTCTCAATTTATTCAACAATTGGATCGTTGGGGTTATCGTATTATTAGTCTGGGTTTTCTCTTTTTAACGATAGGTATTCTTTCAGGAGCAGTATGGGCTAACGAGGCATGGGGTTCCTATTGGAATTGGGATCCAAAGGAAACTTGGGCCTTTATTACTTGGACCATATTCGCGATTTATTTACATACTAGAAAAAATAAAAAATTAGAAGGTGTAAATTCTTCAATAGTGGCCTCTATAGGATTTCTTATAATTTGGATATGTTATTTGGGGATCAATCTATTAGGAATAGGACTACATAGTTATGGTTCATTTACATCTAATTGACTAAAAATGAGTAAAGAACCTGAGAAAGAAAAATATGGAAAGCATATAAATATATACGTTCCATAAATCGTTGAGAACCCTTTCAATCAAGTAATGTAATGATTCAAGGGGTTCTCACAAACAACAAACATATTCGATTATCATTTCAAATTTTGAAGTGAATCTAACGGAAAAATCTTTTTTTTATCTTTTTGATTCATTTATTCACAAAAATCATCCATCAAAAATTAGATAGAATAGCTTCAACCTTGTCAACCGAAAATGAGAAAATGAAATCTGGATAAATACCAATACCTATTATGGGTATAAGAATTGAAATCGAAATAAATAATTCTCTGGGCCCTGAATCAAAAAAAGAAGAGTTTGGTGTATTAAAAAATTTGTATCCATAGAACATCTGCCGTAAGATAGATAATAAATAAATAGGAGTTAATATAATTCCAATTGCTGTTACAAAAGTAATTAGTATTTTCATCATGAAAAGATATTTTTGACTAGTAATTATTCCAAAAAAAACTATCAATTCTGCAACAAAACCGCTCATGCCAGGCAATGCAAGAGAAGCCATTGATAAGAT